TCTTTACTCCTCCCCCCTTTTTTTTTTTTGAGATGGAATATTACTTTGTCACCCTTGATAGAGTGCTATGGTGTCATAGCTCACAGCAACCTCAAAGTCTTGGGCTCAAGCAATCCTTTTGCCTCAGCCTCCTGAGTAGCTGGTACTAAAGGTGCCTGCCATGATGCCCTGTGTCATATTTTTATTTTTTATGTTTTTTGAGACAGAGTCTTACTTTGTCGCCCTCTGTAGAATGCCATAGTGTCACAGCTCACAGCAACCTCAAACTCTTGGGCTCAAGTGATTCTCTTGCCTCAGCCTCCCAAGTAGCTGGGACTATAGACACCCGCCACAGTGCTTGGCTGTTTTTTAGAGACAAGGTGTTGCTCTGGCTCAGGCTGGTCTTTAACCCCATGAACTCAGGCAATCCACCTTGCCTTAACCTTCTAGAGTGCTAGGATTACAGGTGTGAGCCACCGTGTGTGGGCTCTTGCATCATATTTTTAGAGATGGGGTCTTGCTTTTGCTCAATGTCTCAAACTCCTGAACTCAAACAATCCACCCACCTTGGCTGCCAGAGTGCTAGGATTATAGGCCCTATTTTAATGTTTTTGGACGTTGGTTGACCATAGGTTACTGAAACTGCAGAAAGCAAAACCACAGATGTGATATGGTGAAATACATATTTGGTCTTCAATCCCATTTTCTAGCATACAATTCCTAACATTCTTACAGTCTCTAAAATGATGTCTTTCTGTATGTGATTGACCGATGGGTGGCATCTCCTAGGTAGCAATGGGGATGCCACCCATCAGGATGGAGGCTGGTCACCAGAAAGACCAAGGCAAGATTAGATGATCCAGATTTCCAGTCCCCAGATTTCCAGTCCCACTCTTCCAGCTCCAAGAGGATAGAAGGGTTAAAAGTTTAAACTGGTCAGTTTAAACCTGTGGTCAATGATTTAATCAGACATGCTTACGTAATGAAGCTTTCATAAAAAAACAAAAGGAGTGGTGGGTTTGAAGAGCTGCCAGATAACTGAATAGGTAGCATTTCCTAAAGGGTGTCACCCTTCCTCTATACCTTGCTCTTTACATCTTTTCATCTGTATCCTTTGTATCATGTGCTTTATAATAAACCAGTAAACATGAGTAAGGGTACTCCTGAGTTCTGTTAGCCACTCTAACCAATTAATTGCACCGAAACAGGCAGTCCTAGGAACCCTGCCTTGCAGCCAGTTAGTCAGAAGTTTTAGAGGCCCAGACTTGGAACTGGTGTTGGGGGGCAGTCTTAGGGACTGAACCCTCAATCTGAGGCATCTGACGCCATCTCTAGATAGAAACTATGGTGTTGGGGGACAGTCTTAGGGACTGAACCCTCAATCTGAGGCATCTGACGCCATCTCTAGATAGAAACTATGGTAATTGAAATAGAGGACGCCTGCAGAATTGATTGCTTGCTTATTCCTGGAGTGGGGGAGCGGGGACTCCATACACATTTGGTCACAGAAGTCTTCTGTGTTGACTGTTGTTTCCCCTCTGAGATCATAGGGAAAGACCATGTTCACTTTATTTTTTATACACACATAGTGGGTAAAGAGGGACTACCGTATATTCTGTTCTAGTTCCTCCTAGTCCATAAGTCCAGAAGTAATGCTCTGTGTCACTTCCCACATATGATACGAATTCTCTTAATGATATCATTTTCTGTCACTGTGATAGAGTTTGGTTAGAACTGTGATTATTACACACAGCAGTTTACTTGTATTCAATTTTTGTAAATCCCACTACTCGTTGCATTTGATGAATACAAAGGAGGAGACTTAGGAGCTCTTCATGCATTAATTGCCTGCCAATAATATAATTAATGTTAATTCTAGTACAGCCTCCAGGTAAGGTCCCAAAGGCATACTCCATAAGAAACCCTCAGAATCTTATGCTTTTAATATTCTGTATTAGTATTCTACTATTAATTTAAAATGTATTTTATTTTTTTCTTTAATAGTGGATGGAAGTTCTGAAGACTCTTTAAGCAGGTACGAGTTTACAGATTTAAAAAACTTTTATGATAACTAGGAGGCTACAGAGAAAGAAATATTTGTTGAATATTTTATTCTGGGTTATACACCATATTATATGCTTAACATTTATCATCTCCTATAGTCATCATAACAGCTTTGTAAAATATCTTTGCTATTATATCCTACTATTTATTAATTAGGCAATTGTGATTCAGAGAGGTTGAATAGTGGCCTGGCGAGGCAACTCACAACTGTAATCTTAGGACTCTGGGAGGCCAAGGATAGGTTGCTTGAGCTCATGAGTTTGAGACCACCCTGAGCAAGAGTGAGACTGTGTTTACTAAAAAAAAAAAAAATAGAAAAACTAATGGGGTGTCTTGGGGGGCACCTGTAGTCCCAGCTACTGGGAGGCTAAGGCAAAAGGATTGTTTGAGCTGAAGAGTTTGCAGTTGCTGTGAGCTATGACACCACAGCACTCTACCTAGGGTGATAGGGTGAGACATGATTTGACCATCAGCCTGCTGGCTCCCAAATCTTTTCTCTGGCTCTCAGCATAGATTGTTAGAGACCTTGCAGTCCTGGGATCCACGTTCCAGGGCCAAATCTGATCAAGTCAGATAGCCTTGTTAGTCTAAGAGTTTGTCCTTGTGTATTTGACAGTTACTGTGATAACTAGTAACTTTTTTTTTTTTCAAGACAAGGTGTTCTGTTCTCCCTGTGAAAGTTCAGTGGTGTCATCATAGTTCACATACCTCAAATTTATGGGCTCAAGTGTTCCTCCTGCTTCAGCCTCCTGAATAGCTTGGACTATGGGCAGGTGCCACGACACCCAGCTTATTTTTTTATTTTTAGTAGAGAAGGGGTCTTGTTCTTGCTCAGGCTGGTCTCAAACTCCTGGCTTCAAGGAATCCTCCCACCAGTATCCAAGTGTGAGCCACTGCCTGCATTTTTTTGTTTGTTTGTTTTATTTTGTTTTTAACCATCAATGGTTTTAGGTCAGATCACACTTAGCTGTGGTCAAAGCACCATATGATTTACATAAGCAAGACCAGGCAAGTCCTAGAGAGGAATTATTTTGCTGTAAGTACAGGATATCCTCATATAGAACTTATTATATTAATTATAGATAGCATATATTATGAGGCCATTTCTTTTTGTTAGTGCTATATTATAAATTTATTGAAGGGAAAAATTATTTTTTTCAATGTAAAGTTTTATATTTAGACTTTTTAAATCCCTCACAAATTAAATATAATTCAAATATATAAGTAGTCCTTTCCTGTATCATCACTAAAATTCTCTTAAGTTCAGAATAATAAATTATAGGTTGAAATGATTCAATTTGAGAAAATGTAATAGGAGCTGGAGGATAGGTTCTGAAGGAGGGGTGCTGCCTTGCCTTTTTAACTATTATATACACTAA